CACAATCTCCATTAGGTCGTGTTTTTACTACCGGCTTACGGTGAACGGCGGATTCGCCGGAAATTAGGGTTTGTTCTTGAACAAAGACGACGGAGTTTGGGGCTGAGCAACTTGATTTTCTGTTAATATATTTCAATGTATTTTCATGTATTTCATTGTATTCATTGTCTTTTTTTTCATTGTAATTCAATGTATCTCGTTATATTCCATGTATTTCATTGTATTCACTGTCTTTTTTTCATTGTATTTCAATGTATCTCGCTGTATTATATGTATTTCATTATATTTACTGTCTCATTATATGTCATGAATATATTCATATGTTTTTTTAATTAATATAATTTATGTATTCAGATGTATTATATAATTTCTCTGAAGATTGCTATGTTTGGGGTATTTTTCGGTTGAGAATATTTTTTATAACTGAAAATACAAAATTTATGTGTTATAATTGAGTTTATTGAGTTATATTAGTAGTTTATTATGTTAATTGATTCATTTTCCGTTTTAAAAATAGTGTAATCCCCTATTTCACGTCGTGAATACAGTCGAATATAGTTAAATACAATATTCTGTCCAGTTGTAATCCCATGTTTCACTCCATGAATAAAGTCGAATACACTCGAATACAACAACTGATTAGCTGGACTTCCCTGATTCACGCCTATTTTTGCTACTGTATTCATGAAACAATAGCTTAAATACATCAAATACATCTTATAACCATACAAAAGGTATCTATAATCCGTAATATAGCAAATCGTATCTATAGATGACTAATTAATACTAAAAGATAGTGCTTATGAAAATTTCTCTATAATGTTTATAACTTCTTTTTCCTGACCTGCATTTTATATTGGTATTTTCTAGAGGTGTAACTTTGGAGGTAAGTATGTTGCGATGTCCTCTCAACAAAAGAAGATCTATCAAGCTAATAATTTCATTCGAAGGTATGAAACTGTTGGCACTTGGATTGCTCCCTCTTAGAAAGCTGGTAAATATTTGAAATTAAATTACCTATTTAGACCCCTCTTCGGGCTTTCATGTTTCTCATTCATTAGGATATTATAACATAGAAACTATTATCTTAATATAGGTGAAGCAAAATCAGGAAAACAAATTTATGACATAATTGATGTGCTGCGGGAAGGTATGTATGATAAATAGCTTCATGTGGATAATTTTCATCATTGTGTTCTGAAGATCAGAATTGCATGTTATAATTTTTACCTGTAGTAACTTTTTTCCTTTAAATAAACTTTATTACATTGCATCTTATTGAATTAGTTTCTTATAACTTATATGTTTTTATACAATTTGGTATAATGCTTTTTGAAAAAGTTTATAACACTAATATATAGAAAAAGCTAAAGGTTATTCGAATAGTCTTCTGTAACAAAATTAGAGATGCACAAGTGTTTTCTAATTTAAATATATGATGATCTAAAATTAAATCTTGATCGATAGTTATGTTGCATTATATATTTTATTCTACATTGAACATCTTATTATATAAGTATCTTAGTTTTTGTTGTCCGCTATTTAGGTAAACGCTAGACTTACCGGGAAAAAAAATGTGATTTAATCAATTTATAGAATTAATTTGTATGCATGTATATGCAAATTTTATCTTGATATCGATTACTTTTACAAATAAAAAATTGTAATATAATATTTTTTATGACCGCGCAAAGTGATAAATTTACTAGTATCATATAATGATGTAATACGCGTGGGTAGGGTTAAGCATATATAGATCTGGTGATTCTATTTATCAGATGGATAAACGAAGAAGAAAGGGGGAAAATGAAAAATAAGCCTAAAAAATAAAAACAATAAAAGAGAAACAAAAAAATAGATTCTTTTTGAAAATAAAAAGCTTAATTAGCTGTTGATAAGGCTTAGGCAGGGCAATTTTAATGTATTTTCATCTTTTATGTATTTTTTTGCGAGTTATCCTACATAATATTTTACATAATCAACTGAATCCTTTGGATGAGAAGAAACTCTTACGTCCGGTTATTGTCGTAAAGATGGAATTCAAAGACAACTAATTAACCCCAAAAGAACCATATTCCATTAACAACACGGAGGAAGAATGAAGGGAATATCTCATCAAGAAAATCATATTTCTTTCAATAAACATGCTCTTCAGGCATTTGAACCAGTTTGGATTACTTCTAGGCAAATAGAAGCAAGCCGACGGGCAATTCTACGAAATGTACCTCATGGTAAAAAATATGGGTACAATTGGGTTCAAGAAAAAGATGCCCTAAATATTGGGAGTTGTTGTTTAATCGAGTCGAAAATTTTATCAAATGAGTGGAGGAGTTTTTTTCTTCTTCTAATATTTTGTGGAATATTGTTCCGGACGCCATTATGGATTTCTGATAGTTTAAGAAGGCGTTTGGAATAAATTCCAATTTTTTTTTTCAAATTTAAAATTTCATTAAAATTTGAAGTTTGTGTTTGGTTATAATTTTTGCAACATATTTGAATGTACTTTTTTACAAAACCCTGAAACATGATTTATAACCCACAATTTGTAAAAAATATCAAAAGCACCCCCGACTTAATTATCCCACTTGAAACAAACAATCAAACATACTGATTATTTAATTGTACGAACAATCTCAAATAGAAGTTGTAGTGGCTCATTCAGGTAAAAATATAAATTGTAGATCTCAACAAAAAATATCAAAATATAGTGCAAGGCCAATCAACCAGATGGTGGGTAGTTGTAGGTGTTACTTAGGTTTAATAACTGATTGGGATCCTTTTATAAATTTAAAAAATATAGGGTAAATTTATAAAACTTAAAAATACCAACTTTAAATTTTCAATTGAAAAACTAGTTCTCAACAATTTTTCAAATTTGAAAATGCATTTTCAAGTTGTATTTGAAAAGAATTAAAAGTTTCATAGCCAAACATTGTTTTGAAATTTATTTTTGAAAAGAAGGAAAAATTTCTTATGTCCAAACGGGTTCTAAGTAGATAATTTGCAAAAATGGGTGAAATTAAAAAATAGCCAGATTTACAAGTGGTAATGAAAAATAAACACCGTTTCAAAAGTAATCAAAATTTATTCATTTTTCATGTAAAGATAAATCTGAACGAAAGAAAACATCGTTCAAAATCTGAAAAATATTTCCAGCATAATATACTGGAGTTCCAGTATATTATGCCAAAACTTTCCGTGTGTTGGAGTTCCAGCATAATATGTTGGAAATGCATATACAAGTGCACTAATTTCAACTTTCTATGTTGCAGCAAAATAGTAGCTATTATTTAATGACTTTGCAAACGCTGGCTATTTTTAATTACCAATCCGAAAATTGGCTAGCCCGTACTATTTTTACTGCAAAAGTACATTAATGGTCTATTAATCTCAATGATATCTTGGATAAAAGCTATGTGGCTGTTTAAAATTTTAATGGTTTGGATTCGTTTGAAATTTTCACAATGTTGTATAGACAAATAAACTAACAGATTTATACCTTAACATCATTTCTATAAAAAAAAAAATATGTGCATTAGACTAAACAACCAAGAATGTTAAGAAAGAAAGAAAAAAATCAGTAACACAACTATTAGAAGAAAATTATACATACTCCGCTTTTCTGATTTTCAAAATTGTTCCAATCATATATTATTTTATTTATCTTTTGTCATTGAAATATATGAGTAAAATAACGCACCAACTTTACAGTCCTCGATCTGCTATTTATTTATTTTTTGTGAAAGAACCCAAAGGGTGTATTAGCTAAAAAAAAACATTGTCACAATATTCATATGCATCCAAACCAGTAAAATTATAAGCAGTTGTAACTATTCGACCGATCATTTTGTGCAATTGAGCCTCGTTTCCCCTTTTGAAGCTTCACACATATGTATTTGTGATTTTATGACTTGCAGGGATGGTTAGTTTCATTCCGGGAAGATTTGGATTGATTTTTTTGGTTTTTCACCCGGTGTTCGGTACTCACATTGGGGCCCGACTAAATCCGTATTAGTGTCGGGAAGTCCCACATTAGGGGTAAAGCGCTCCCTAACAAAAGTGACTCCATACCCAAGGGCCCGAACTCGAGACCTCTAATTTGAACCCTTTGATTCTTGGCTTAGAAGATTAAGTTGGAAATATTGATCAAAGTTTGACTTTTGTGAAAACGACCCCGAAATGGAAATTTTGATGGCTCCAATGGATTTGTATCGTTATTTTGGACTTGGGTGTATGCCCGAAATAGAATTCGGAGGTCCTTAGGTTGATTTAACTTGTTTTACTAAAAGTTGGCAATTTGAGGTTTAAGAATTTTCTTAAGTTGACCACAGGTTGACTTCATGGGTACCCCGTACGGATTTTGCTTTTGTGACATGGAATAGGTTCGTCTTGCTATTTGGGTTTTGTCTGTAAAATTTGGTGTAATTTGGTTAGACTCTTGGTTGCAATTCTAGAAGTTCTTGAGTTCTCTTTTGAAATTCATGCGTTTTGATGTCCGATTCATAGTTCTCAATATTATTTTGGTATTTTGATCGTGCGAGCGAGTTAGTATGATATTTTTAGAATTGTTTGGATGTTTGGTTTGGAGCCCCGAGGGCTCGGGTGAGTTCCTGATGTGTTTCAGATTGGATTGAACAGATTTTGAGGTTACTCGTGTGATGATGCAAAGTTGTCGCAATTGCGAGCACCATCATCTCAATTGTGAAGAGGGCATGGGAAGTCCAGATGTTGCAAATGCGTCCCTCTTCGTATTTACGAAGACAGTGTTGGAAGGTTCGCATTTGCGAGGGTTCGCATTTGCAAACTCAAGGTCGCATTTACAACATTTGCAGCTGATTAAAAGGGTTGGAAGTCGAGATTTAGGTCTCATTTTTCATATCTTTGAACCCTAATCTCGGTAGGAGGTGCTTGGAAGAGGGATTTTCACATACAATCATTGGGTAAGTGATGTTGATCAATTTTCAACTTTATTACATGTACTTGGAAACAACCTCTCCACTTCAGGATAGGGGTATAAGGTTTGCGTACACACTACCCTTTCCAGACATAGTGGGATTAGATATTATCCTATTTACAATTCTTATTGTTAAATTAACTCTCATGCTGAGTAGTACTTTATCATCTGAAAACTTATATATGGGTCTGATATCACGAAACCCGTTACTTGTTATACTGAAAAACTTCATCCAAGAGTCTTTAATACCATAATCTTTCATTGCCCATAAACTGAAAGTGTCCTCGTACCTATACCAAACACAAAGCATTCCTCCCAACTCTGAGACGCCCGCATCAAAACGAATGCGATTCAACCAGCAGGTTGAAGGGAGCGACCACAGCATCTCCGGCAATGGTATCTCTCCGTATACCTCATATGATATATTAAATGAAACCACACAAAACCTTGATAAGATACCAAGCCAATGAAATGCTCCATGTACAACTGCCACATCTTCCCCACCAAACAACAAACGACTATATGCCTTACCAGAGGTTTTATCATCAATTCTTCTCCAGGAACAACTTTTCAATGCCAAAATTTCATTTGCATTATTGTCATCTCTAGAAAGGTCAATCCTAAGGACTTTATAGTCGTCACTAGTAGAGTCATATCCCAATCCATAAGTACATCCCCAATTATCGTCATCACTACATGAGTCATCATCATTATATCCCAACTGTTTTAACAATTTTGAATGGGGAAGTATTGTTGATTCTCCTGTGGAGGGGTTCCATATCAATAATATTGAAGGTTGTTCCCGACCAAGTTCACTCCAAATACCGATGAGAAACAAACCATCACAACTAGAATAGAGTTTTACACCATTTGCTAAATCAAAATTTGAAGGACAATCAAATCTAGGGATATCCTTAACAAGTTGAACCAAGGATAAAGAAGAAGAATAGAAGTGAAAAGTATCATCCTTTTTGGACCATTTTAAAAAAAGAAATTTTTGGGAATTGGGTTGGTATTTAGCATGGTTGAGATGTTTCTTCTTAAAATAAGGTTCAGAAATCAATGTATTCCAAGATTCTGAAACACACTTGAAACGAACAAGTGACCTCACTGGTAGCCTGCTCAGAATATCCATAAGTATTTCCTCTTGGACGTGAGTTCCCATTACCTTATACCAAAACGCTTTAATAATTCACAGGTAGAAAAAAACGAAGAACAAAGACTGATAAACTAGAGAAAGCCAACGACGCTGCTAGCTGTGATCCAGAGAAATATCATATAATGATGTAATACGCGTGGGTAGGGTTAAGTATATATAGATCGATCTTGTAATCTATTTATTATAAAACTTTGTCAAAGAAGTAGTAGAATCTAACTAATTAAGCTCCTTGTAGAAATAGAATTTGGTTCCTAATAGGATTGGACAACCTTTTTTGTTTGTCACTGTAAAAGAGGATTCCACGTTCTAAAAGGAATGCTCACTTAACCTAAATAATTCATTATTTAATATTAGTTACAAATAATAATAAAAGAAGTTGATATAATGTCTAAATCGATGACTACAAATAATAAGAACGTTTAGGTATTTTTATTCCTTGGAAGAATAAAAGAAAAAAAAAGTTCTACATGCCAAATATAAAAGGAAAACGACGTGGAAAAGAATACTAGTACTAGGTACTTAATTATTTTGTCCAGTGGATGGACTTCTTTGCAGTAATACCAGTTATTTGTGCCAAAAAAAAAAAAAAAAAAGAAGAAAAAAAAAAAAAAAAAAAGAAGAACAAAGTTCCTAATTGGCCCAGGATGCTGAACAACATGTGATAAAATGAGATAAATTTGACTTTACATCATGTATAATACAACCACACACAAGTATCACGTCAAAGAACAAAGAAGCGTAATTGATCCGTTGACTCTTATACCACGTCAATATTTATTGCAGAAATGATAAAATTTCTATGAGAAAATAAGATAAAATTTCTATGAGAAAATAAGATAGTTTGTTTCGATGTACCTGTAAAAGCTTGTTGCGGCTGGTTCGAATTCGACTAAAATGCTACTACCCATTGTCCACAATAATCTCTGCTCTTTCTATTTCCATTCTCTCCTTATAGTTTTGGTTCGTCACCTGCAATTATCACTTGCTAGCAGGCATAACTGTTCGAGAATATTAAAGGGCTTGAAATGTCAGTTCATCTTTCATGTCTTAAATGTTTTCTACATTAAGGGTCTGTTTCGAAAGTCGTCGGGTAATTGGAATTGGTGTAACTACTAAGGTAATAATTACACAACCTAGTAATTATATCGTTGTGTAATTACGACGACCTATTTGTTTGTCATAGTGTAATTACAGTATAATTACAAGTTTACTGTTTGGTTACACAAGTGTAATTACACAGTTAGATTAAATTTTAAATAAAAAAATTATCAAAACTTAAAAGTTAATATAATAAATATATGCCTATAAATTTTTATAAGTATAAATGATATTATATTTGTTATTTAAGATATATATTTTTTTTGTGACTATACATTAATTAGTAATCATATATTCACTACTAGAAATACAACATTTTCCCACCGAAATTTTCCATGGATAAATTATTTGTGTCAATTCTCACCGAAACTAAGTGAGAAAAGTGAAATTTCTTTTCCATGAAAAAATAATAATGTTTCCCATTGACTATCCGTGGGAAGGTTTTGGCGCAAAAATGTGCGCAATTTGCTTCCCTCTAATTCTGTGGGAAAAGTTATTAAAAAAATAATTATATAAAACTAAAAAGATTTTCTGGGGAAAACAGTGGGAAAATATAAAACAATATTTTTAAATATTCCCCCAGATTCCGCGTGAACGAAAATTTTTTGATATTGAATTTTCATGTTTTATTGAAAGAGATTTCCTAGGGATGTAGTGGGAAAGTTTTATTATCTGCCCCTCCCC